TATTTTTATTTCTCCTCGTGTCGTTACCTCACTGGTCTGAATGGAGATTCTCAGTGACATACTCTATTACTAGATGAACCGACGATCTGGTGAAAGTCTCGGGAAGTACCTGGATGTGTTCGTTCGTTATGGAAATCCTTGGGAAGGCCTTAGTCCAGCAGTGGACGTCATTTGGCTGAAACTAACCAACGAACCTCTATTTCATTTTGGATTTATTTTCATAAATAGCTTTTTATCTTGATCGTACATTTCAAAGTGTTTATTCGATTCATGTGCGACTTGATTTGTTGCTCACACTTGGGGGCGTTACCGCGATGTATTTTTATGTATTGCGCCAAATTATTCATGAATGAACCAATTGAATTGATTGACTATTGTTAGATATGTTATTCATGTGATTTTGTGACAAAATATACACAAAAATAAACTACGCAAAGTTACGTGGGACACTATTTAAGTTGTGAGCCTAACTATGAAAACAAAGTATTTTATTATTAAAATGGTATTGATTGCGTTTATTGGTATTGTCTTTCATGATTTATGTACTTTTTAATGTGTCCGAAACACTTTTCATAGCATTTTTTCCACTCAGCTTGAGGCACCTCCAAAACATGGTTTTTGACCGCACCGACAGTTGCTTCTGGCTACATAAATCGCTGTTCACGCATTTAATTTCAATATATGGGTACCAAAAGAAGTGCCTAGATTCCAATCAAGAATTTTGTAGCGTTGGACCTGTTTATTTCATATTTTGAGTGTTCAAATAGTCCGTTGTTTGACGAGACGTGTAAAAGCTCACATTTTCGTCACGAATGGCGATTCGACTATGCTGGTCAGTTTCCCTTATTAAACTGAAGACTTTTGGAAAAAAAGTGGCTGTTTACTATTAAGAATTAACCATTCCAAATTTCTCTAGTAACGTTTCTGTCATATAATCGGATATTTCAGAAAAATAGGCAACCGTAAGTTTTAAAGTGTTCCGAGCGCATGGGACTTTTGTTGGAAATGGTTCATCTTAAAACACCTCCATAGTCGATAGCTGTTTATTTTCAGGATCATTATGCATAGATCCTTAATTCGTCAACTGTCACAATTTTAAAAACGGCTTTTAAAGCTTTTTAAACGTATTTATCAAACATTTTCAAGGACTAAACGACTCAAGCGTCCTATTGAGCGTTTGAAAATTTTTGGGACATCCAGCGAGTAAAAAACGTATTTCATATTTTAAGTGTTTAAATAGTCAGTTGTTTGACGAGACGTGTAAAAGCTCACATTTTCGTCACGAATGGGGATTCGACTATGCTGGTCAGTTTCCCTTATTAAACTGAAGACTTTTGGAAAAAAGTGGCTGTTTACTATTAAGAATTAACCATTCTAAATTTCTCTACTGACGTTTCTGTCATATAATCGGATATTTCTGAAAAATAGGCGACCGTAAGTTTCAAAGTGTTCCGAGCGCAAGGGACTTTTGTTGGAATTGGTTCATCTTAAAACCCCTCCATAGTCGATAGCTGTTTATTTTCAGGATCATTATGCATAGATCCTTAATTCGTCAACTGTTACAATTTTCAAAACGGGTTTTAAAGCTTTTTAAACGTATTTATCAAACATTTCCAAGGACTAAACGACACAAGCGTCCTATTGAGCGTTTGAAAAATTTTGTGACATCCAGCGAGAAAAAAACGTATTAACCATAATATGGTCATACAATATATTATTACTGCTAGTGGAATTAATGCCTAGGATTATCTCAATCATACGATACATCACATGACGAGGTTTCTCTTCCATTTTTCTGACAACATCAATGTGTTCCGCCACTATTAGTCATTTTGGACGACTTTCGCAAAGTTCACTGGTGAGCCAATGACATACAATATTATACTTCCTTAACTAGCGTTTTACAATGGTAACGGACAGATCTTTATCACCAAAAGTGAAATTTAGCTGACCGCTTCAGTTTTGTATTGATTAACCACGTCGAAAGTCATAATAAATCTTCGCGCGAAAATTGCCGCAAGTCAATTCCATGTTTTTGTAGTAAAGATAATTTTCAATTCAATGTTAATAATACAAAACGTGCTCAAATGATAAAAAGTTTTGAATAAGGTTGTAGTCAAAAATGTCAAACTTTTCATTAAAAGTATCAGATGTCGTCTAACAACACGTTATGTTGTCGAGGCTCACAACTTAAATAGTGCCCTAGGTAGATAAAGGGGAAGGCCTTGGTCCAGCATTATAAGACATTTGGCTAAAACGAATAATTTAGATAAAATAAAATTAAAGATCATACTTAGATATTCTGTGTGCTTAACATGAGTTTACGTTATTCGTTAGCTACAGCGTAAAAATTACATTAAATGTATGAAAGATTGTACGTACAGCGCCCCTAGTGACTACTTTCTAGAACTAAAATATTCATACATTTTTTGACGCACTCGCTACCGAGCACATCTAACGTAAACTCTGGTAAGCACACTGATAACACAAAATTTAAAGCTTCAACTGAGACTTTGAAAATTCACTGTTTATACTTACGTTACTATTTAAAAGAACACTAAACTTTATCTTCTCATCAATATTAACTATCAGCTCACAATTACCATTATCATGAAACCCTTTAATCCTTCAAGGCCCGCGAATCTAGACACAATAGATAATCAATTTTTATGACATTAATTAATGCCGTCTGGGACTCAAGCGGTTAAAGTTAAACTGGTGTAACTTTGGATGGGAGAGTGAAAAGGCTTGGGTTGGCGTGGGTGCTTCTGGAATGACATAAAATGACCCGATCAAGACTTAGGGCGAGTTCACAGCTATTCCCCTTAAGATCCTAGTTAACAGTTACTTAGTGATGTTAAGCATCGAATATACAGATTAGTTATCCGAACTTAAGATGTGCGCAAATAATCATAAACATAAACTTTATTGCTTCATGTGGTACAAACAAGGTATTAAAAATAAAACAGTCCCAGAAATAGGTATAGGTACTTAAAACAATTTTAGCTTACGAAAAATCTGAAATTCATTTACTCAACCTTAATTCCAGTAAACTACATCAATATGACTGTCATCATCATCATCACCATTTCAGCCATAGGACATCCACTGCTGAATATAGGCCTCCCCAATGACTTCCACATCGCACGGCCTGCATCCAGCGCCTACCTGCCTTTATCAGGTCGTCGGTCCACCTTGCGGGTGGACATCACATGCTGCATTTTCCGGTACGCGGCCTCCATTTCAGAACCTTGCTGCCCCATCGGCCGGCAGTTCTGCGTACTATCCCTGCCCACTGCCACTTCAGCTTACTAATGCAATTATGTACTTTTTGGAAAATCTGTAAATTTTTATGTAATACCAGGTATTAGAGAATATTCGTTTCTATAAAGTACCAGTATATCTGAACCATATTTGGGACGTGTTTAAATATATATTTTTTTAACGTAAACTAAGTATATATAGCTTACTCATAAATAAGGAAAATAAGTTATAATTACAATTTGATTAGTTGCGTAATGGTTTAAGTAGGTACTGATAGTTTTCATAATCTGAACTACTGCGTCATTCTTAGGAAAACATTATTACTTATTCACTATACCATTCCGTACTATAATTATTCATTCTATCCGAAAAATATCCATAAATAAATTTGAACCCCATCCCTATCCATATAAAGTCTCATATCCTTAACAACTCTACTTAAAACAGGGTCGGTGGGAATCCTTTAATCTGTATTCCAATTAAACCCGACGTTTTCTATCACACGGTTCACAGTGCAGATGATTGTAGTAAGTTCGTCGCGACACGTTAAACTTACTATCGAAGCGATGTCAGACGCCTTAACGGTTAATAAAGTCTGACTCTATTGGTTAAAACCAATATTATTATGTATAGATAATATAATATATCAATTAACATATTATGTATAAGAAGTAGCCTCTGACTTGAGGTGAGACCCACAAAGAAACTGTTCGATCGACGATTTTGATGAAATTTGGTATAGTAGAGATAGCTTGAGTCTCGGGAAGGACAATAGGACAGCCAGTTCTGTTTACTTAAAAAACCTGCTTTTTAAGTAACAAGAACTGGCTGTACATACATTCTATGTTTTGATAGCTATATTCGAATGTGACTTTTATACTGTTTGTTTATATCTGTCACTTCACTTCTCTCTCTGAAAGTACACGGTCTATCTCTCATCACTCACTTCTTTTTCTTTAAATCTTAATTCCATCAGCACTCTACACTTCTACTAGTTCTTAGTTTTCATCTCGGTTTTTTAAACAGGAACGCGCGCGATACAGTTTTTCTGCGACAGACAAAATTTCACGCGGGGAAGACGCAGCAAACGCTAGTTTAACTGAATACTTACTAATAATCACAAAATTAGTTAATTTGGAAATAGGCAGAAGCCGAACAAAAAAAAAGATCTAGCTTCCTTGTAGTGTTGTACGATGAGTCTTATTTTAGTGCTAGACTAGACCAATTTGCACGCCACAATGAACATGCATCTTGTTCACGAGCACTTCAAAAAGCGCCGATGAACAGGCATGTTGTCCTCAATCACTTCAAAAGGCGCGGAATGATGCGCTTACGCATCCGCGTGCCAGGTCTAGCGATTTGTTCTTTTGGTGATTGAAAACTATCTAATAGTACGCATTAACGTCGCCGCTGGACTATTGTAGTGAACCTAACCAGAATACAGACAGTGATGATGAATTAGGTCATTCATTAATTTGTTGATATTTTTTTCATTTTAAAAGTAACTTCCGCGTTCATTTAACACCAAAGAGATTCCAACCCTGCAACGGGTGGACTATAGGTACCATAAGGTGCAAGTTCGTGGCCTGCACGCAGCAGCAGCAGATGAATGTCGCCGCGACACTACTGGTTTCTATGTATTTCTATCAAATACCATTCGTAGTAAGCGACACGTCGCCTCGCCAGGGCGTATTTCATAAAAATACATTGAGTCGCGGCGACACGTCGTCACTGCTCCTGCGTGCAGTCAGCTTCGAACTTGCACCTTTATACCTGTAGTCCTCAAAATAAGACTGCTTTCACATAGGGCGTCAGAAGCGCGACAGCTGCGCGGTAGCAGCGAATAAGGCGCGACAGTCGCGTTGCTAAAGTCGCCTAAATGTGAATGATCTATCCAAAACTTTATTAATTTTGCTCGTAGGTAAAGAGGCGTCGCTCTGGCTCTGACGTTGATATCATTGGCGTTCATTAACGAATGAACAATAGCGACCATTCCGGAACACTGGCTCCCAATGGACAGTTGTCAGCAGATAACAGCCGTTGTTTATAAATGAATTTATAAAAATAATAAATGGACACAGTCCAAATCGAACTGCCTTTTTGTTGCTACTAACTTTGCATTATAAAAAAGGACGTCGTAAAGTGAAGAAATAACTCTCTAGATAGGTATAATTGAATGGCCTTCACTAATGATAGGTATTTCACTTGGCCAGCTCATACAATCATGTACGAATAACACTGGTCTTTTTTTTTTCTATTTATTTCCATCCAATCCCATTCGCTTTTGGATCCCTTTCGGTTAGAATAAAGAGGCTGGAGGGAGAGAAAGGAGATGATAGGGATCTTCGAAAATGTACAGTGTTTGGGATAGTGCTAGGGATAATTTAAGGCGATGTTGTGATGACAATTTTATCGACTAAAATGCCCCATACTTAAATGGACCCACCCCCCTCCTCTTGGATTAGGGGGCTTAATTTTTAAATTTTATTTTTTATAACTCTAGAGGTATGTATTTCACTAGATGATTGTAACAAAATAAAATAATACAAACGAAAATGCTGTTTATCTAAAATACTACCTATAAAGGAAAAAGTTATAGTTATTACATTTTCATACCTTCTTCTAATACTTCTAAAATTTTATCATTCACCAATTTTGGCGCGTCTACTGCCCATAGGTAATCTGCATGGTTGAATTTCGAGAAAGGGACCATGTACATCGTGGTGGTCTCCGGAAGAGTGTCGTGGAGTTTTTGCACATCTTTTTCACTGCACATCAAGTCATTTTCAGCCCAAAACAATGTCGTATTTAACGTCACTTTCTTCAAGTCGTACTCGGGCGGTGTATCAGAGTTGTACACGGCTCGGTTTCGTGCCGGGGATTCGTAGTCGAACTGCTGGAATTTTCCAGAGAGATGCGTTTGGGCGTAATGCAGTATACACTTCCAGGAAGCGCCGCCGCCGTTCGCCAAGAATTGGAGCATGCGGAACTTGTTCCACTGTTCCTCGTCTTTGCCGATGATATAAAACGCTAAACGCTTGCAGTAGTCGCTGGCCAACTCCGTTTGACATATCTTGCCGAGTCTATCCAAGTAGTCTGCTTGTCCTACTTCGTATGAGCGCAGCAGGAGCGCCGCGTGCGCAGCCCGGCTCGCGCCCGCATGCAGCACCCTCACCGGAGACTCCATGTTCGCCATAAACACCGCCGGCGCCAAGGCCACGCCCACGCTCAACTTCTCATTGTACTCCGGCCGAAGCGACAACATCGTGTACATTATCGTCGTCCCCATAGAATGCCCTATGTACCCAACCTTAGCGTCGTCCCCCTTAACTTTATGTATGTAATCAATTATAGCTGGCATATCGTAAAGTCCAATTTCGTGGAACGAAAAGTTCCAGAATTCTTTCGTGTTAGTTTTGTACCGGGAGTGTTCCCGGCAGTACCTGTTGCCTCTCACGTTGGCCATCCACACGTCGTACCCGGCATCTGCCAAGACGTACCCGAGGGATTTCTCTGGTCCACTGGCGATGAAGTTCGCGGAACTGTCGAACAGCCCGTGTTGGAGGATGACTGCCTTATTAGGTGTAGACCCACCTGCCTTAGCTCTCGGGATCCTGTGCACAGTCAAAATGTAGCCTTCAGACACCACTGAATGCGTTTCACAGTCGTACCCGTTGCTGGTCACCATCGCTGGTACAGATAAAATTAGTTCAGGGTCTTTAAGTCTTGCGCCTGGGTCATCTGAATGCATGAATGAAGTTCTATCCTTAAAATTGTCGATGTAGTCCTCTACAGCCTTTATCCAGGTATTGCCGTTAATTTCCTTGTAGGTGGAATCCATTATTTGCTTAATGTAGTTAATTTGACTTTCAAAATAGTCGTTTGCTTTATTCTTCTGCCTAGTGATGTATTCTTCCAAGCTTGGGTCGGCTGAGGTGATGCCGTGTCGGGACACCATTAGCAGCACACCAACGATGCTCGTTAGTAGTTTAAACATCTTGTCTGGTCCCGAGGCGCAGACAGCACTAACCGACCAAGTATAAATTGCGATGTTTGGAACAAAAGTTCACCTAAGGGTCAAGTAGAGACGTCATTGTTGAAAACACTGTTATTATTGTATGACTCATAAAAATAATGTTAAAATGACGTTGTCGAAGTAACATGACATGGTTCAAACTACCAACACTTACGAGTACCTACCTTTATTAATCATACTGTACCTGCTGATTTAAATAAAGACATCGTTTTAACCAGTGATAAAAAATATGCAGCCTATTGTTATACCTCCCTACAATTATTTTTAATTTTCCGTCAATTTATAATTATTTTGAAAACTCTTTACCTAGCAATATCTACAATATTAAGTGGACACTGTCTGAAATATATTTATTTCTTTTTTCAGAGGCTGGACTATGTTTGACCTCAATCTCAACGGATGGTAAGTGAATATAATATATTTAAGATGTTTAACTTTGCTTTTTGCTATTTATTTTGACGTTCATAGGTACAACCGTATATTGGTCAAAATTGAATAAACATTATGTATTTTTCATTTTCATTTCCGATACCTATTGCTTTAAACTTCGGAGAGTTTCCCAAAACACAGTCATTTCTTGACTCATCAGAGACTGAGCCGATGCAAAAAATATTTATACAAAAATTGTGATGGACGAAAACGAAAAAATAAATGACTTATGACTATGACTTGGGGTTACATTTTAGATTTTTAGACATTTTAGATTATTATAGGAAACACCAAGGACATGATAATAAAATTATTGGCGAGTACATTAGACAATAAGATTTTCCCAATGGATTGGGATCGCAAAATTGTGGTTTGGAGATCTTCAGAAGTCACTTTAAAACAGTTATAAGAGTTATGAAACGCAGCTATATTGTTAGACCATTGTAGAAGCGATAAATCAATTCTCAAGTTAGGCAAATGTATGGCCAGCTAAGGACATTGGGAACTTTAATATGAGAAAATGCCCCACGGCGGACAAAGATGAAACGTATTTTATTTCAAAGCTTTATACTTGTAGGTATATTCACTTAAAGCGCTATGTTGTGATATATGGGAATTCTGAGATATGACGAGTCTAAGTTGAAAATATATTTGTCTAAAATGATTTGATATTTTCATATGTTATGTTTTTTGGCATTGCAGAGTAACCAATAAAAGTAAATAAAATAATATAAATAAATAAAAAATATAAATAAAATAATATAAATAAATAAAATATTATAAATACTTAAATTAATATTAGACAACATCTCATATACTACTCCAACCCAAAATAAGTAGCTTAGGCATTTGTGTTATGGAAATCGGGAACGACGAACCACAACACACCCAAACCAGAGACAATGTGAAAAGATCGTTTTCTATATTGTCCCGGCCGGAAATCGAACCCAGGACCTCAGGATTGGCCCGGCACACCTTGAAAACCGGTGTGTGCGCCTCTCCGCCACCGAGGTCGTCAAAAATGTTACCTAAATGTAAAATAAAATAAAATATTAAAACTTCATTTTCTCAATATTCCCATATAAGAGAGAAAAAAAAATGCACGGAAATTCATTGGATATTAGTATGTATCATCTGTGATAGGTTTCGTTTGTGTCCGCTACTTTTCGAAAAGTGTGGCAAAAAGTTCCCAATGTCATTTAAAATCGAATCAATCTGTCGGCTGACCGATTAAAAGGAATTCGCTCGCTCGCGGTCCATTTGCCAACCAGCTATTAAATGCACATGATCGTAGATTAGAGATAACAAATCACTCTATTTTAGGCAACATACCATGTTAGCACGCAGCGTGGGACGTACACCCACAAGGTGGACCAACGGACATCATTAAGGTAGCAGGTAGGCGCTGGACTCAGGTCGCTACCAACCGATCAACATGGAAATCATTGGGGGAGGCCTGTGCTCAGCAGTAGACGGCCTATTGCTGAAATGATGATGATGATGATGATGATCGTGTTATAGTATCCCTTTCAAGCTTGAGCGTAGCCAGGGGGGAGGGCAGTGAAGGGCAGCTGCAGTTTCGCAGTCGCTTTGAACTGACCTGATCTGATTCATTAGGTCGTGCCCAGGTTCACTATATTTTTAGTATCTTTTAGTCAGCCACTGTAATCATCTGTGAAGGCAAAATACAAATTTTAACCAGTTCTTAACACTATTTAATGTTACATGCTAATAAGATGCGAACAGCTAGAGACTGAAATTTGCTGCCAGCTGCTGTCTTTCCTGAACACTAATCCGGGCCTCTTCAACGTTACAGGACATGTACTATTACCATCCTAGACTGCATCTCCTTTAACATCAGGTGTGTTTGCAATCAAATACCTGCTTTGTTCTGCATAAAACAAACATTTTTGACTTACTTGACTTATTTATGGTCCTATGTCCCCTAGATGGGGCAGAGGGCATCCACAACAGTCCTCCATCTCGTTCGGTCTTGAGCTTCCCGCTTGATTTCGCTCCAGGTCTTGCCGATCTTCTTCGCCTCGTCCGCTAAAAATCATTTTTACATATAGGTAAATAAGGCTTATCTAAACTGCCAAGATCTGTAGTTACGGTGGCCATACCACACCCAATCAATTAGGAACCCGCCGCAAGCCGCATCGCTTTCCCCTGCGCATTGGTCTGCGGCTAGCTCTTGGCCTAATTTGTCCGATTGTGTGCCCACAGCTTAGATGTTTGGGTTGATTGTTGATTAGACGAAGCCATCAACAGGGCACAACAGAACACTTACAGGGCAGATATGTACCATCCTAGACTGCATCCCACATCCAGGTATGATTGTACGTGGTCAAATGCCTGCCTTGTTATGCATAAAATTTGTTTATTTCTTTAATTAGGACAACCAACAAGACAGACACAAATTCAAGCAAAGGGGTTTACATACATAATTTTGTTTTAGGACTAGGTACTATCTTAATTACAGTTTTACAGTAAATTCCAAAAAAGGAGAAAAATAATTACTTTACTTATTATAACCAATTATGAACGACGCTTGATTTTCGAAGTCGTTGCCAGTCTATTAAATTCCAAAGTTAGACGTATAATTTTTTTCCGACACTGACCCATGAATATCAATCATGGTAAAATTGGGTTAGTCCCAATTGGGTGGATGGCACCCATCAAGTGTCAGCCACCCCGGTATATCGTTTTAAATAGAACCAACTGGGCATTATATCCTTTCAAACAAAAAATAATTATATAAATCGGTTTGCAACAAAGTACTGCGGTACTGTAGACCTGTCTTAACTGGCAGCATCTACCTGAGAGAACTGCTGGACGCGAGCCAACGCCTATGAGCCGTCCACCTGAATCTCTCATCTAGGGCTGCTAAATGATTGAAAACTTTTGAAACGTTCTCTTACAGGATTTTTTTTTGAAAAGATCTCTTGCTAGCCGTAAAACCACCTAGATATTGTGTTATCTACATAACGTATGTCCTCGTTTTGTTAATAGAAAAGAAAATATTTATTTGACTCAGAACAGGTTTCATTTACAAGTTATCGTAGTGTACAACGTAGACAAAGTTATGTTTTTATTAAAACTTCTGTAGTCAATTGATTGAAGTACCGCATTTTTTGCATTTTCCCATATTCTTGCACAAGTAATAATTCACAATACCTATACGTTTCAATCAACCTCTCCAAATATTTGCACAACGATCTGTTCTGCACTGTCCATTCCAATGCCAGATCTTAACCAGATGTTCAGTCCACCAGTTCCCTACCCTACATTTTCCACTTCATGGTCGCCACTCGAGAACTTTTCTGCCCCAACAGCCATCAGTTCTAAGAGCTATGCTTAAAGTATTAAAACAGTATTTATTGCTCAGGCAGCCCTAGCCTCATCATCAAACTACACTATGTGCTTTAAATAGCTTCAAAGTAGCTGCTGACATTTAAATTGGCCGTTTAATGACAGTGTATTCTTAAGCCCATTGAGTGAGAGCTACATCGTATTCTAATCAAGGAACATTGTGTAATTGTTTGAATACAGGGTGGCCGAATATGAAGTTTAAGAAACATATTGATTTGCTTCGACATCTCAATTCTAATTCTTTTTGTCGTGCAGAATATAAAATGGAATAATGATTGTCTGTATATTGAGCACTAGCTTTTGCCCGCGGCTTCACCCGCGTGAAATTTAGTTTGTCACAGATCGTCATAAATTATAGCCTGTATGTTATTCTGGGTTCTAAACAATAATACTGTAAAGTTTCATCAAAATCCGTTCAATAGTTTTTGCGTGAAAGAGTAACAAACATCCAGACATCCACACAAACTTTCACGTTTATAATATTAAGTAGGAAGTAGGATATTGGTAGGATTTAAGACGAGCTAAATCTTATTTTAAACTAATTTAAGGTAGATACTAACCCTCTCTCTGATGTTTTGCTTTCCCCTTGCAGGGCGTCACACACATGTATACCTACCTTTATTTTGTAACACCGTTGTAAAAAAACGTTTATTGATACAATAAACGTTTTGAATTAGGAATCTAAATAGATCAAGACAGTATTATTTCATCTCAGAAATACCTTAATGAGGGCTATCGTTTTTATACTTAACAGTTGGCACCCCTGGCGATTGACAGGACCTTACTCTACAGTGGCGCCATCTTGATGAGTGCAAATGCGATAGTCCTCCTACCACTTTTGCGCTCACAAGTTGGCGCCACTGTCTTCGCTACTAGCAAGTGACAGGACCTTACTCTACAGTGGCGCTAACTGGTGAGCGCTAAAACGATAGCCCTCATTGATGAAGTTAGGAAATTGATCAAACAGAACATTAGTATTTGCTTTCGTAGATAAAGATAAATATATTTACGTGGAGATAATGAAACTCGGAAAGTAATAAGTAGTTGGTACTTCCAACTTTTTAGAATTCTATTCATCACATCGTGTTTCTCGTCGTTACATGTTGTTATGAAAGTTAACGTAAAAAGTAACCTAATGTATCTGCCTTAGCATTTGAAACTAAGGGCCTTGCCACACTGGCGGATTGCAAGCGGAGCGCAAGCGGCACCTTACCGCTGCTCCGCCCAGAAAACGCTTGCAATCTGCCAGTGTGGCAAGGCCCTTACAGAGCAAAAAATATTCACATTCTTCTTCAATTCTAAGTTCAAGGCCTTCTTAAATCACACAAACTATTTTTTCACTAAGTTCGGATCTTCTAGTACCTACCTAATTCTCCGTAAGTTCTGTAAAATAAATAATTATAAATAACTCAAATAAGAATGAAATACAAGATAACGTGTAATCTGTATGCGTGTGCCCATAATAAATATTTAAATAAAACATAATTAAAGTTATTTACATCAAATTTGTTGGACTTTCCTGTTTGTTTGAAATTGAGATTACTACAACGGAAACGACTAGCAAGCTATAAATAATCATGGTTTAACTTTACGCTATGCAGTCTAGAACAGAACTTGAAATCATGAAAGTGTTCATTATTACTTTGTTGTTTTACTACGTGCATTATGGAGGTAAGCCTTTACCAATGGAACGTGTCTTTTTGAAATGGCGCAGTTACACTATGCGGGTCGAGACATAAAGAAAGTGTAAACAGGCACTTCAGTTAGTTTCGCCGTGCATCGCCCATACTTCGGTGTACGTGCTTGCACTTCTGTTCGATCAATTTCCCGCATAGTGTACCTGCGCCAAAAGAACTGAATTATTATGAAATATAACAAATCAAAACGAAATTCGCAATTTTATTTTGGTTTATTTTTCGCCAGAGAGCATGCCAAATGAAACGCAGTTTAAAAGATTTAGGCCTGACTACCATTACAATGAATTGGCTGGAGGCTGGGTGAAGTTCCATCACGTACCAACCACGTGGCTCGAGGCACGGCTAAGATGTTATTTAGAAGGTGAGTAAAGAACACAAGGTCATCTAAAGATAATAATTGTATAGGCCCTTTGATGCAGTGGTTCAGAATGGACTACTATGCCGAGAGGTCCCGGGTTCGATTCCCAGCCGGGCAAAAATTGAAATGATGAATTTTAATTTCTGTGACGGGTCTGGGTGCTTTCTATGTATAATATGTATGTATTTACAAAAAAAAGTGTATAAGTATGTTTATATCCGTCGTCCAGTACCCATAGTACAAGCTTTGCTTAGTTTGGGACTAGAGGTGCAGTGTAAAATGTCCAAGGATATTTATTCATTATTTATTTATTTACTGAAATATGTGTTAGACATACACTTACGTACATAGTTAAGCTAGTCGTGGTCGTCGTTTCAGCCGAATGACGTCCACTGCTGGACAAGGATTTCTTCCACAAAGACCGGTCCTGCGCAGCTCGCATCCAGGCACCTCCCGCGACCTTCACCAGATCGTCGGTCCAACTAGTGGGAGGCCTGCCCACACTGGTCGCCACTCGAGATCTGTTCTACTCTAGCGGCCATCAGCTCTGTGAGCTATATGCCGGGTTAGCTAGCATATTCTACCTGTGATTCTACATACGACTAGATGTTACGCATTGTATGTACAACTTTATGTATAGTAGGTTTATTATTTTAATGTAGTTGAATATAAGATTTTAAACTTTCGCGTTCCATTTCAACTAAAATAGTTAGACACTGTCTTAACGCGACGTGCAACATCGCAGCCGAAACGTCAAGCCGTGAGTACATAATGTAACTCATTAATAAACGTCGCGTTAAGACCCGTGTCTTACTATTTTAGTAGTTGAATATATTGTACAAAATAAAATATAATGAATAAATAAATGTCCTTGGACATTTACATTAAAACCCATGAACCAGTTTTTTTCATAGGTACTTCAGAAAAAAGTGTAGATGAGTTAATCTTTCAATGATATTCACCTGTTTTAGGAGCCGTTTTGGCTTCACCAGTCAATGAAAACATGAAACAAGGTCTGATTGAACTGCTGGTCGATCAGTTGGAGAGTAAAGTCTTTACTGGAATTCACTCAATCTTTTCAAAGGGAGACTTCACATCTGTTGATGGTTGGTATTTAGAGCTAGAGCCTTTTTAATAACAAACAGCAATCGATGTAATTTAATTAATCAATGTGTTCTAATTTAACCGCCTCTGTGTTCTAGTGGTTAAGACTACCTGCTTCAGACGCAGAGGTCCCGGGTTCAATTCCCAGTGGATGCAGATTTTTCTATTCGGTTTGGTTGGTGGTAGGGCTTGTTCTAAGTCCGCCTGGCTAGCTACCACCATCTTACTTAAGTCTGTCGCCATAAAAACAATGTTAACAGCATTGTTGTGTTCCGGCAGTTAGAGGTAAGATAGCCAGTTCCTCCGTGATTGAGGATTCACGGTCGCCAGGTGCCCAGTTAACCCAACTGGGTAGTAAGATATACATTGATAAGTATATATCTTAACTTACCCCAGACATAAACATTCGTCTCAACATTTTTCAATTTGCCTCGTGCGTCTTCGGAAATTGGAATCAAGACCAACAGCTGCTTGCTTTAACTATCCACACCTCGATGACGAACTTTTACATCTTCAGGTATCCCTGTTTATGAAATGCCCGTGAATATAAGAAGTGGGGATATATCGGGAGAATGTGTCACTTTTATGATGGACGGACGACTGGAAGGTCACGACTGCTCAAGTAAATACCCATACATATGCCACAAACGAGCGCCAAGGGATCTGACGACTTCAATTTGCGGAATCGATCAAGGTAATACCACAGAATAATAATAAGTTAATACGAGTATAATAACAATGTTTTAAGAACTACGAGTTATCATCGATATGAGACCTATACATATACAGCAGTTTTATTAAGTAAAGAAGTTAAGTTTCGTTCAAAATAGAAAAGTCGACTCCGCGTTACGGGGTAAGGCGAAGCAGAAGAAGAAAGAAGTTAAGTTTAGTCTGGACTGTAGAGCTAAATAAATAAGAAATAAATATCCTTGGACATTTTACACTGCGCTTCTAGTCCCAAACTAAGCAAAGCTTGTACTATGGGTACTAGACAACGGATATAAACTTAAATACTTTTTTTTTGTAAATACATACTTATTATACATAGAAAACACCCAGTCCAATACAAACAAATATGTTCATGCACACACGTTTGTACTGTGCGGGAATCGAACCCGCTGCCTCCGGAATAGTAGTCCGTTTCGAACCACTACACCAAACGGCCGACTATAGCTAGAATTATACATTGGTATTCGTGAAAATGCATGGATGATTACAACTCTTAGTTAATGGAAACTAGTTACAGTTTAAGATTTCTAATATTTACCTCAATATTCAAAATTGCCAAGGTTTTTAACTAAACAATAGATATTGTTTTGTTTTACAATAGAGTATAAATATGACCCGCGAACTGGCAGCTGCTACAAGTTTCACAAATTCGGGCGAACTTGGTACCAAGCTGCCTCGGTGTGTGCTGCAGAGGGTGGGCACCTGGCCATCATCAACAGTGACGTGGAGGCTGAAGTCATTAAGGGGATATACCAGAACTACCCCGACGACACCATCCAGGCGGACTACAAACACACAGCGAGTATCGGATTCCTAGATTGGGGAGTACGAGGACTCTGGTGGACAATACACGGTACTCAAAACATTTTAAATTAAACTCTTAAATTGCAATGTTTAGTAAAATTCATAACATAGTTATTTAATTTTTAGCGTTAATCTCAAACTAATTTGAAAATAATAAATAACTTGACAAAATCGAACTGCCTAACTAAGACGTCGTCGGTGATCGTGGGTCCAATTCCCGCCTTAGGCAGTTCGATTTTTTAAACTTATTTATAATGCTGAACATAATTTTTAACAGTGAACCAATTGTGTCTTCTGATTAATTTCGTTGCGGATCCAATTATTGTTTATATTTGCCCCGGGACACACTTGACCTTCACTGGTTGGGTTTTTATTGGTGGTCAAGCTGTAGATCCTGGCTAGCATAGGAGTTGCAGCGGTGGGAGCTGGTGGGAATAGTCCCGTCACAGTGAACTAAAGATGAAGTTTTAAATGAGAATTTTATTATAGGTCAAGATTTGACAGAAGCCGGCTACAGCAAGTGGAATAAAGGATCTCCTGACGACAAGACCCAGTATTGTGGCGCAGTGATGAGGGCAGGGACATTGAATGACATATGGTGTGAAAAACAAACTTTTCCTGCCATTTGTGAGAAGACTACAGAGTTTAGCCCTAGACCGATAACCCTACGATAAAAGTCTATAATAAACTACCTACATCTATATATATATATAAAAGAAAGTCGTGTTAGTTACAGCACTTACAACTCAAGAACGGCTGAACCGATTTAGCTGAAAATTGTCAGGCAGGTAGTTTAGAGCCAGGAGAAGGACATAGGATACTTTTTATCCCGTTCGAAATAAATAAAAAGTCTGCTTATTTATTGCCATTAAGGCGGAACAAAGTTCGCCGGGTCAGCTAGTACCTACATAAAATCTGAACCAAATACAAATAAATTCATTTGCTAAAAAAAAATTCTACTAAGCAAGTGTTACTATGATTTAAATGAATATTATAATGATAAGCCCACATATACAGTACTATGCAATACATAAATTTAACTATTACACCGGTCAACAAAAAAAAAGTTTTTTTTTGCGCATGGATTTTACTTATTATATTCTGATTATATAAGCAAATTTATATAAAAAAGTGCGATTACAAATCGAAAATATTTGCTTTTTAACCCTTAAATTGGCACTCATTGAACCCTTGCTTCAAAAATGGGCAAATTTGGGATTTAGGTATTGTTTTGATAGATTAAGAAAAAAATATTTACTTTTTGAAAAAATTTCAATTAGTATAGAAGTTATGACATGTCACTCAAAACGGACATTGCCAATTATTTAGCATTACAACCATGTCACTTAGGGCGGACATTGCCAGTGTAGAAAAACAAACGTAAAACAACGTTTCTTAATAACAATACAGGAATCCCTGATAATCATCCTCTGGCTAATCCAGCGCCTTTTGCAATCCATCTGGACTATTTACTGTTGATTTTACATAAATTTATCAAAAAATACCCTGACATATAAAAACATTAAGTGACTGCCTGATTTATCAACATAAATCCCAAACCGGTGGGTATAAAGACACAAAGTTTGGCATGTAGGTTCCTTATTAGGATCTAGGGGTGTTATCAGAAAGAATTTTTCCAAAATTACCCCCTAAGGGGGTGAAATGGGGGTCCAAAGTTTGTAGGGCGAAACAAAATTAGTTACACTATTTAATTCGAAACTTCACAGGATACATTCCTATCGATAAATGAATAAACACGTGTTTCAGGTTATTTCAGAATTCAACCCCTAAAAGGGGGAAATTGGGTAAAAATGTCTAAAAATCAACATGAGTATTTATTACTGATACATGGCATTGTCCGTTTTAAGTGACATAACATTTGTAACCTTGAAATGAATGGAAAAAAATCGATATTTTTTTAAAGTTTTGGCAATAACCGCCAGTTTTATTCGTTAATATTCTAAAATCAATCAATAAAGCACAAGAACAAGTGTAATACCTACAGTATTGCCACATTTATCAAGAGTGAAAACTTGACATTGCTGTTGCATTTATTCGACTGTCTTTATTTTTAAAATTCGCGGCTTTTTATTGAACTACAGCCCCGTGTTTCACACAAAATATCATGCTTTTTATAAAATATCCCTTGAAAGTCGATAAATTGCTTTAATTAAGATTCTGTAAGCAATTATTTGACATGTCCTTTAAAACGGACAAAAACAATTTAAGGGTTAAGAAGTTATAGCGATTTGAATTTTCCATCTTCATAGTAGAATGTCTCTAAAGATGCACGTCCCATTCAAATTGGGATATATTTATAAATAATTATGGGGGCTTATTCGCAAGAACAAGGGGCACGCTTTCATCAAAATATAGTGAGATTTGAGAGACGACGTTACCAAGGCCAGTATACTGAAAGCATGATAGGGTTAGATTTTTATGCGAAAAATCTTCTATGGAACATGACAAGAAATTAGAACTTTTCAAATTAATAAAAATTTGGACTCTATTTTAAATTTTCTCTTGTGAGAATGAATCTTAAATGGATGTTTGGTATGTTTTAATAATTAGAAAGAATGAAAGAAAGAAAGAAAAAAAAATATTCGGCAACTAATTGAATCATCTCTATGTTCATGTTTCATACATTCATTGATATGAATTTTTCTATTTTTTACACATAAAAGCAAATTCAGAACAATTTTTTGTTGTTATTCTTATTTCTAGGTCATAAAGCAATAAAAATAAGCTATGCATAACCCGTGCGCAAAAATGCTGTAGACAGTTGTTATCTATTGTATCACCCATTATATGACATTTAGTTGTTCAGTTACCTATTATACTCGTACTTATTATTAGAATTATTAGAATTTTTTTTCCTATTCCCTGGAGAGACTTTATAAAAAAAGTGTCGCGTGATTTTTTAAATATATTTTTTATATATACTACAATAATAGACATTATATTCTAAATTGCTTTAATGTACTTCCTATCAAAGACATCTATAATTTATTTGATTGCTATTGTAAATACGAGTAAAATTGCAATGCCTTTGCAGGGCCCATATGTTTACCTTACATATTTTATAAGACCTACAGTAAGGTCCAATACATACATTATGTGATGCAATAAATAAATGAATATGAATATGACCCACTGCTTGACCAATATAACAAATGTGTAATAAAATTGTGACAAATTAATTTAATCAGCTACACTGTGTCTGTGTATAGATTTTTTATTTCCTTTTCCCTTTTTTATCATACTATATTCCCAAACTGACTGTTGAACTATTCATCAGTAGTAACTAACGATACATCCAGAGGTGGAATTGTGTAAAGCAATCGTAATCATTTGACAGTTCATAACGTACGATTATTCTGTCAAACGCTTTGTTTAACTGACTTTATCGTACGTTATGGACTGTCAAATGATTACGATTGCTTTATACAAATCCACCTCTGCCCTACAATCTTTCAAGAAGAGAGCGTATTTTATATAATTATCTTAAAGGCCGACAAAGGGTGTCTGTCTATGGACGACGGTAATACCATCAGGTGGTCCATCTATCCGGGTTTTACCGGGCTATCGCGTTGTGTGTGGCCTAGGTTTTAGACATGCAACAGTTTAAATCAACGTGCCTTTCTGACGTACCATCACATAATTTTGATGGAGAACTTTTTGTAGGTAGGGAAATGATAAAATGACTATCAACTATTTAACTAAACTCTTTATTTAGGTACAACAAATCATTTACACTGTACAATTATTGTATCAGTGATACGCACACAAAAATACACGGACCTCCAAAAGTTACACTATTTAAAATTGCATGTTAATTTTTTGAAATAAAGGCTTCAATACATGAATCTACTAATTACGTATATTTATTCAATAAACAATTTGATAACACATTTACCAAAAACTTATAATTACTTAAAAACTAAACTTTAAAGATTACTTTATAAACACTGAATCTTGGCTACGGCTATAGGATCTTGTCAAAATAAAAAATGCATTATTCAAAATATTTACTCGTATAATAAGAATTAATAATAATAAAGTTCCCTTGATATAGTTTTTAGCTACTTTCACCATGATACTGACCGTTCATTTTCAGTTAATTAATAATAACTACATAATAATGTGTGGAACAAAAATTTTAAATTATGTAAAACTTTTTAAATAGCGGTCTTATTTATCTGCTACTTGGTTGCTGTTCAAAATTAGGAACTAAACTAGATCAGCTTTCTTTTCGCAAATGGCAGGGAAAGTGACTCCCTCACACTCTATGTGAGATAGTGTCCCATTCCTCCCTACTGCACCACAATAATGCCTTGTACTTCTCATGTCAGGTACAAACTTATCCCACTTGCTGTATCCTGCATCTTGCAATGTTTGACCTACAAAAAAAACACTCATTTATCATTTAGGCCAGTAATTCTTTGAGGCTCAGGGACCATTTCGTTTTTTTTTTATTGTTCCCAGGGAATATTAAAAAAGTCCTTAAAGCAAAAAGTAATATTGAAAAGGAAAAACCAAATACCAAATCAATTAAGTAAAAATTCGTGTGTTTATTGAGCGAGCGTTCTTCTGCACGGTAATCCTAGAACTATTATTACTTATTTATTTATTTATACTTCGATGCCAAAAATATTAACATTAGGCGAACTTAATGCCTTAAGGCATTCTCATCCAGTTTACCTTTGGGTTATGCAGAGAAATTAGTTTGGCGGTATAACAAAAAATAAAATAAAATAAAGCAACGGCAAAACAAATATGCTACATATTCATACATAAATAATATATAAAATATATAATAAATAAATAAATACTAAGATGATAGATATAATGATGGATGACGATAAGGTAAACAGAAACCATTCATGAAGATGATATCATTTGGACTACTATTATTACTTAATACTTAAACCCTCTCATGACACGCGGAAGTCCATCACTCACGAAACTTAAAATCGTTCGTGAACCATATTTAGCTCCTGTGGACCACCAGTGGTCCATGGACCACTAACGGGACTATTCTCACCTCTCGTTTCCACTGCTGCAACTCCTGTGTAGCTAGGATCTACAGCTTGACCGCCAATAAAAACCCAACCAGTGAAGGTCAAGTTTGTCCCGGGGGAAAGTTAAACTACCACGAAATTAATCAGAAGAACATAAGAGGAGTTCGAAGTTAAGGTTAGTCGAACCTCCAAGAGTTCCTCCGTTGCAAAGCGGATGACAAGTGACAAACAAAGGTTTGTAACATTTTACATGGACAAGTAGTTGGGAACCCCTGAGCAGAAGTACATAATTTGAAGTGTTATAAAAAAGTAGGTACCGTGTATTGTCCACCAGATCTTCACTGCTCCCCAACCTTGGAATCCGATGCTCGCTGCGTACTTGGCGTCCGCCTTGAAGGCGTCGTCAGGGTAGTTCTGGAATATCCCCCTGATGACGTCGGCTTCTACGTCACTGTTGATGATGGCCAGGTGCCCGCCTTCCGCCACGCACACTCTAAACGCCTGAGGCCAGGTTCGTCCGAGTGTGTGAAACTTATAGCAGCTACCAGTTCGTTGTTCATATTTGTACTCTAAAATGAAAGGCACAATTTTGTATTTGTTGACCATTTGAACCCAAAAATTGTCACTAGCGAATAGGTACGAGTAAATTATATAGAATTACCAAAAACACAGTAAATAAGCGCTTACTAATTTTCTATCTCTACACGTTGAAACTATCCATATACTAAGCTTACGGTCCCCTAAAGCTTCTAAGTCAAACCTTTTCCACCTGTACCGTTAGAATGACTGATATTATAAAATTTTTGAGCATAGATAGACGAACTTATTTATTTGTTACGTAGATAGCAGATGCGATAGACGAAGGTATAGAAAACTTATAACATAGTCGCCTCTTAAAACTGGTATGATAACTAGTCAAACAGTTCGTAGCACCCAAAGTGACCAAAAAAGTTGATAACACAGCTTTTTGGCATCTTTGGGTGTCACGAACAATTTGACGCTGACTGTAGAACAAAAATACCTTGATCGGCCCCGCAAACCGACGATGTCAGATGTTCTGGTCCTTTTTTGAAACATATGTATGGATATTGACTGGAACAGTTGCGGGCTTCGACTCGCCCGTTGGAACGCATCGTCACGCAGTTTCCGGACACGTCACGACTGTGTAAACTCACGGGCATCTCGTGCAGAGGAACACCTGGAAATCACAAGTCGACAATCCAAGGACTGGACGAAAGTCTGACAAATAAAGGACAACGTTAGATATTTTTAAAGTAGGTAGCAGGGAAGCGCTGGACGCAGGCCGCTACCAATCGATCAACGTGGAAAGCGTTAGGGGAGGCCTATGTTCAGCAGTGGACGTCCTATAGCTGAAATGATGATGATGATGATGATGTTAGATATTTTTAATAAAGAAATATTGCGTCTTCCATCGGTAACTAACCTCCAACTGATGTGTAGACTCCCTTTGAAAATGTCGAGTGAATCCCAGTGAAGATATATGGCTCGTTAACATCCATCAGCATAATCATCTTTTGAATAATATTTTCATTGAATGGTGAAACCAATTCGGCTCCTAAAACAAAGTTAACTATCAGAAGCTTGATTTTGAATTTATGGCCTCAGATTGAAGTCTTACCGTCTTAAATGGAAGTATTTAATGGAATTTAGTGTACAACTCTGGCGGTAATTTGTGTTCTAAAGTGCAGTGAAACATTAAAACTCTTAGAACGCCCTCTTTTGAAGTCGGTTAATAAAGTGAGCCCACCTTCATAATAGCACTGAAGTCGCGCGTCTTCCCACGTGGCAGGCACGCTGTGGAACTTGAACCAGCCTCCAGTTCGCTCGCTGTAACTGTAGTCAGGTCTGAACCAGTTTGACTTCGACGTGTTGAGCTCGGAACTATCTGTTAATAATCTATATATATAAAAATGAAACCCGTTTCGCGTTGTCACGGCATCACGTGTGAACGGCTGAACCGATTTCGATAATTCTTTTTTTTAAATGTTTGTGGAAGTCCAAGGATGGTTCTTACGGAAAAAAATATTAAGAAAATCTCTACGCTAAGGCGGTACGAAGTTCGCCGGGTCAGCTAGTTTAATATAAATACTATCATTCTTCAATCAATTTACCTAAGGCTGGTTATACATTGACGCACTCTGACCATCGGCGCTAAAAGCAGAAAAGTATGAAGCGTCAGCGCCGACATTCAGCGAGCAGTCAGCGCGATTCTAAAACCCGTCTAACTCTGTCGCCATAAATAATAATAATGCTGTTAGTATTGTTGTGTTCCGGCTGTTAGAGTAAGGTTCCTCTATGGTTAAAAGGATTCCGGGTGAAGTGAAGCTCGCTTCGGCATAATCATCACTTTCCATCAGGTACATACAGCTCAGCTTCTTTGTTGTGGATTTAAAAAAAAGGTTCCAACGAAACCCACTTTCCTTTTTTTTCTATCCACAACGAGGAAGCTCTTGGCCTGTATCTCACCTGATGGTAAGTGATGATCAGGCCTTTGCGCTTGGACTTACCACCATGATGTGGGTAGAAAATAAAAACCAAAACTAGAATAATAGAGACTTTCATCTCGAGAAGACTGTTGCGTGTTGCGGGAAGTTAAGAACTGCGCGCGTTGAATTAAAAACTCTATTTATAATATTACTTTTATCCATTGAAACCGCAAACGAGTCGTACCTCTTATCAAAATGTTTCCTGTTTTTCTACAGAAATAAATAAATAAATATCCTTGGACATTTTACACTGCGCTTCTAGTCCCAAACTAAGCAAAGCTTGTACTATGGGTACTAGACAACGGATATAAACATACTTAAATACTTTTTTTTTGTAAATACATACTTATTATACATAGAAAACACCCAGTCCAATACAAACAAATATGTTCATGCACACAAATGTTTGTACTGTGCGGGAATCGAACCCGCTACCTCCGGAATAGTTGTCCGTTTCGAACCACTACACCAAACGGCCGACAAATAAGCAATAACTTTTACATAAATTAATAATTGGCAAAAACAAACAGAGAATAATTGATTTATTGATATGTCGGCGGTTATATGCTTTATATTTGCCTGCTTAGACTGCCTGTGGATAAACAGGTACCTATGTTATTGTTTAGGGAACATTGATAAAATAAGCTATTTATAGGAAATAAAGGAAATAAATGAGATTACATTAACAACGAGTTCATTAGGTGCTACCGATTCCTGATTATTCTGCGTGGTGAATATAGGTTAGAAACGATAAGTGATCTCACTCGATTATTTATAATCTATACAAGAATCAATTAATGATTCTGAAAGTATTTCATGAGCTCTATTAAACGGTCTCAATATAGGTTACAGAATAAACTGGATCTATCTAAAAATTCTAATTTTCCAGCTTCGATACATTTACACAGTATTACCTGTAGGTACATCTACTTTAAAGTTCATACGATTTGCCTTACTGCAGTTCTACCTTATAGGGACTAAGATGAAGATGATTAATTTTTACTGATTTAATTTAATTTTTACTTTGGCTCTCGTCCGGATCATATCGGATGTTGGCCAAGCCGTTAATTTAGTTTGCTATTTTAATGTTTGATAATGACTGGCCTATTTAACTATCTCTACGTCCGCCATCGACGGCGTCTCGGGGGCAAATGAGATTGCCGTGCTGGTGGCGCCGCGCGACGGAGAAAACTTAATTTCCACCTCCAATTAACGGAAATTAGAACGCGGAGCTCTTTCCACCGACACATAATTTTACATGATCAATTTTCATTAAGGTCATACTAGCTAGAGTTTACCTGTGTATACGGTTAAATTGTTTGAAAGATCTTGGGGAAAGTTGTTGCATTTGAGCCGTAGCATCAATATTTTTTGTTGATCTATACTTATAAGGACATCCTGTATTTATGTATATCCTTTCTCTTTATTGGCCCAGCAGCCAGACAAGTTTACAGCTTATATTTAACACGCCAAAAAGCAAGACCATAATTTTTAGTTCAGTTCAGTTCAATATTTTTATATCCAGCCGTTCTCGAGTTTTAATCAGACTTACGAACATCAATTCATTATATTGATAAAACCTACATGGGTATTTTTTATCTGGACGTCACTTGAAGTTTTAAACGTTTTGTATATATCTGTGCCATGACATCACGTGACATACTCTAGTCAATACTGTCATCGAGACACCATGAGCAGCCCGTTTTAAATGTTCACCATCAGTCCGTACGCGTTCCACCCGCTGCTGCAGCGATTCGTCGCGCTCTGGCGGTACGTGCAGGTGGTGTCCGACTGCCTGACCTTCCTGCTGTCGATGCTGTGCTGCCAGTGCTGGACCCTGATGCCTCTGTCCCCCACTACCAGTGAGAAGGCATCCGTCGAGTCTTTCCAAGTAAGCCTTCTTCTGCTTGTCAATTTTTTCAATTCATGTCGTCAGCCAAGCGTGGGGATTATGGCAAAACCCTCCACTATAGTGGAGGCTCATAAAATTCATAAATTCATAAAATTCATTTATTTTTGCAAATAGGCTTTAAAAAAGCGCTTTTACACGTCCCAATATTAACCCTACCACTGCTTCGGGACAATAAATGGGCCAGTGCTGAGAAGAAGCAGCGCAAGAAACTCAGTCACTATTGTCAGCCTCCTTTTCAAGGTTTTACAGTCTTTAAAATATACAAATTATAGTCATAAGTATTAATGCGAGCTAGGTAGTTAAACATTCCAAACATTTTTATCCTTTATATAATCATCAACTTTATAGTAGCCCTTTTTCATTAAGGTGCTTTTGATATGTGCTTTAAATTTATGAATGGGCAATTCTACAACAGTTTGTGGTAATTTATTGAAAAGTTTAATACATTTCCCCATAAATGAATTTCAAAGTAGTCCAGCAGTGGACAGTAAAGGGTTGTTGATTATGATGATGTTGAATTGTTGTCATCGTAACCATTCTTCGTTTAGTGCGCATCTCTATAATATCCAACCCTCCCATCAGGAGTAAGTAATCCATTAAAGTTACTAGTCATTTCAAAGAGCGACTTGTTTATTCAAAATTCAAATTAAAAAAAAAAATTATTTATCGATAAAAGTCTTAACAATGATGTTGTGAGTCTCATCCTTTTAAGTTTATAAAACTTGTGTTAGAATGTTCCAAACCCTGACAGACGCCAAAAATCTCTCAAACTCCATACAAAAACACGGTCATCGTCATAGTCAAGGTCAAAGCTTGGCGGTGAAAGCCTTTAGAAATAAGACTGTAGAAGTTAGAAAATAAGTAAACATTTAACAATTATTTTTTTCTCTTTTAAAGTGAGAAGTAGGCGAGTAGGTAAATACGTAAAATAAAGTAGGTATAAAATATCTCATTTGCTTTCCATTTAATATTGCCATTATATGGATAGACTTTATGAAGCACCTAGAAGTACTGCACTGCATTCATTTATTGGTCTATCTAGGGTGACAGCGGGTTTCATTGAGTTGATCTGAACACAGCAGTGGACGTCCTATGGCTGACATGATGATGATGATGATAATGATCTGAACACGATACGCCTCACTTAACATCTTTTGGAATGTATTTTTCTACATACTGCAGATACTAATTGAATTCTATTAAAGGATAATAAAAGGGGCAAGGTAAAAATATAATTTTATTCATCACACAATATCTCTGGCGATTGTACCCTTGATTGAGTTATCCTTTACCATCCATCCTACTTCAGATCCTCCCCGAGGCGAGGATAGAGCCAGGCAGGGCCAGCGGGGAGCCGTTCCGTGCCCAGCACCTGGTGATAGACTTCAGCCCTCAGCCCGGGGACACGGAGGAGACTGGCGCCAAGTGCCAGCAGTTTTGGGAAGCCGTCAACGCCCATCCTGACCTGGACGGCATGATGGTTCTGCCTGTTAGTGCGCTCACATTGTCAATTGGCCACGAGAGTAATTTCCACTGTCGCTGTTAGAGCCACAGCACACATGCTATCTTTTTCGATACGGTCTGAACGCATGAAGTCGCGAACTCGCGATGCTGCACCGATAATAAGCTGGTTTTCTATATCCAAATCCGTCCGTCAACTGTCAAATTTCAATATGTTTTTGGTCAAAATACCTACGATTTTCGAAGTTTTTACATTTCATATTGTTTATAAGACTATTTAACAATATTAAGGTGTAAACGCATCAAAAATTGTGGATATTTTATCGAAAACTGATTGTTTGACAGTTGAAATTCGATTTTGGACAAGGATTGAATGTGGGAAACGGGCGATAGTCGCAGAATCTCCAATCGGTGATGCTAAAAGTAGCATATCTGCTGTGCCTCTTAGACTCCTTTGGTGGCCAAGCAGTAGATCCTTATACAGGAGCAAAAGAGAACGAGAGGGTTTTCTTGGCATATTTGCAATCAATTCGATCAAATCTAACAATAAGTTAATTTAGGTCTGTACTACAAAACAACGCTCAGAACTGATAATATTTTCTACTTTAATATCCTAGGAGAACAAGACACAGGCCGTAATAAATAGTTCGGTGCCGGTCCACAAGCCGTCGTCTCCCAGTGCCCACCAACCCAATTTCCAAGCGCTGCACTCGATCAAGGATATGGGAGACACAGGTTAGTACGAGTATAATTACGGAGATGTAGTAGCCTTAGAACAGCTAAGAGAGCTCACTGACGAGCGACATTATGTCGGTCATCGACTGTTGGCGAGGGTTTTTCCTCAGCCTGCGACTCGCGCCTTTCGCTGTCATGAATTATGTTTACACTGACTATACCATAGTGACTGCCCGTCTTCGAGAGTTGCGATGCATCGGCGACATTCGTCCAATTTGAATAGGTATAGCTGTCGTCAGCGACTATGGCCGACTTAAGTCGCAAGCAGTCGCCAATATAATATATTGTCGCTCATTTGTGAGCTCTCTTTCTAGCAAACTATGCAGCATGCTGCGGTAAATATTCAGAAAAGCGATGATAGAGCAATCATAGTCTGCTGATAATCACCTGTGATGCAGTAGTGCATGACTATGCAAGTGACTTAGTTATATCCGAGTATGTCCATTTGTCTTCTACCATCCATTAAAATTATTTACCTAGGAAAAATATATTTTTTGCATAACTTTTTATTTTACAGGAGTGTTCAACGCCGCATTTGCAACAACCACATCAAAACACAATTAATCTTAAATTTTACAGGATCCTTTTATTTTTTGTTAAATTATTTATTTTTTTATTCTTTGTTGTTTTATTATTTTATTATTTACACTGTATTTCAAAGAATATTAAAACACTTGATAATGTATTCTTCTGTTTATTACTGTTTTGAATAAAAAAGATGCAGTTGCCCCTTTTAGAGCAAAAAGCAAATTAAAAATTATTCACTGCACTTAATATTTCTATGGTTTTTGCTGATGTCTATTATCACCGTGTATGCTTTTAGTGCGAGTTTACATTGAACATCGTCGCTAGCGAGTACGTCAAAAAATCTATAAAGATTTTAGTTCTTGAAAGTATCCTCTAGGAACCCTGTTTACAATCTGTAATCTGGGCGCTACTATCAATACTGAGTTATTATTAGTGCAAATTTTAGCCACGTAGAGCGCTTTCGCATTTAGGCGATTTAGCAGCGCAACAAACGCGCGACAGACGCGCTGCCGAAAATTTCATATTATGTGACAGCGGATGCATGCCTGCACATTATAAAAACGCTGCTGGCCGCGCTGCAGTCGCTCTACTAACGCCGTAATGTGAAAGCGCTCTTAACGTTTCAGAATTATTTGACTGTAGCGTGGACTTTTAGTGTAAACTCGCACTAAGAACACTAAACCACGCGCGCTAGTCGTACATGATGCGCATCTTCAAGCAGTCGGTGCGCACGCGCGCGTCGAATTCGCGCATGTCGTCGCGCCGGCGCGCCGCGCGCTCGGCGTCGCGCGGCACGTAGTCGCGTGCGCAACATCCGCAGCACGCGCCGCACTCGCAGAACGCGCAGCACGCCTTCACAGCGCCCCACGCGCCTGAAGGCAACATCAAAAATTAATTTATATAGTACTTAGTTCTTGGCCAGGATTTTCGCGCAAGCGCAGCGCGTTGTTGTAGCAAATATTAGGGCTATCCAGTAAGCCACAAAACTGGACTAAGCGGTATGGCGTTTATGAACACATTGTTTAAAATTCGAACGGATTGCTTTTTTACTGGACTCTACAAACGGGAACATATTAAATACGTATACCTACTGGTAAATAAGATCCTCCAAAAGACGGGATGTCTCCGTAGGAACCATTCTTACGTTTTAAATAATCTAACTTCATTCGTAAAGTATATTCTACCTATATTCGGTCTCAAAGGTTGATTCATTCTAACCAAGAAACTAATTAATTAATCCTAACTAGGACAATTTTATTTTCTTACCAATTTTCTTGGCCATCTCAGCGAACCTCAAGTACGGAGTGTGAGCCGCGTCGTCCACCGGCGCCTGGCAAACGCGGACCACGCGCGCCGCTCGCACCGCATTCCGCTCGTTCACTGTGACGCGCCGAGCGCGCCCGAACAGCGGGCACGGGCTGTTCGGGAATACTTTCTGCAAGAAGCGGATTTAGCAAACATTACATTACAGTACATTTTAAACTTCGTCATCATCATCCTCATCTTTATCTCTATACTCATCATCATCCCTATTCCCATCCTCATCCTCGTCCCTATTCCCATCCTCATCCTTATCCCGTATGCTGCGCGCACTGCATTCCGCTCGTTTACCGTCACGCGCCGAGCGCGCCCGAACAGCGGGCACGGGCTGTTCGGGAACACTTTCTAAACATAGCAAATTCATCAAACAGTTTAACCTTCGTGATCGGAAAAATTTCATCCTCATCCTCATCTTATTGGTCCCTATTCCCATTCTCATCCTTATCCCCGTGTGCTGAGCGCACCGCGTGCCACTCGTTCACAGTCACGCGCCGCACGCGCACGTACAGCGGTATGTTCTTCAGTTTCAAAATTTCATAATCTCATCCTCATTCACATCCTCTTCTTTGTCCATGCCCTTCATTATCCTTATTCTCATTATTATCGTCAATCAATCAGCCTTAACCTTATCCTTATCCCTATTTCCATTCACATCCTTCGTCCTTATCCTCGTTTTCATACTCACTCTCAACTTCAAATCTTATCCTCATTCACTAAAAACTCGAGAAAAACTGTATAATTATTTTTCGGTTCGTGTTCATGCAGTGGAGACTAAAATGTCCTAAAGGCCTAGGATGTGCGCCGCGTTCAGCTTTATCGTGCCATTCGATTTTACGCCATAAGCCCCAAACATTGTCGTCTAAAATCGTCGATTAGATTTTAGCACCCTAGCTGATTTAATTTTCTCTCGGGACAAACTTGACCTAAACTGGTTGGGTTATTATTGATGGTTAAGCTGTAAATCCTGGCTACACAGGAGTTGCAGCGGTGGCAACGAGAGATGGGGGTAGTCCCGTAGCCCAGCTAACGATGACAAGCATTCACCGTGGGGCATCGCCTGAAGCACTCTGGTAAAGGTTTCCGCTCAAGCAACAGCTCTGCTGACGTGTTCTGGACCTTGCCTCGCCATTCGCGACGACGACTCTTGCATATTGGACGACAACTAGAAATTTCACGTTTAGCTGAATATTTTCTGCTTAATTCTGACTCTGAACATAAGTCACTGTTACCAATATAAATATTTATCTAAGTATAGATTTAAATAAATATTTTTAAAGAATTTCCTAAATTAAATTTCATAGAAGAAAGAATTTGGATTTTACTTGCATAGATCTGCTGTTTCTTTAGGGTCTCTCCTCAAATCTGGTAATTGTATCATCTTAAATGGTGATAGTAGATTAACACTAATATAAATTCATTGTTGATTTCGTTGTACCTAATTTGTAATTTTGAAATGTCTTTGACGAAATGTTTTGATTGATTTGACAAAGGCAAAAAAACGTTTTATACCCTCTATGATAAAACCTTGTTACACACTGCCTATTATTATTGTAATAACGTTTTAAATTAAATACGTTATCGTCATCAAAACGTGTTTTCGATTCTTTTCGACTGTATCTGTACCAAAACATTTTTCGGGCGACTACTCTTACCACAATTGCCTCACTTAGTAAAAGAGATATTTAAAACAAATCGAAAACTTTAATTACAAACAAATACTAATTAACAAATAGAACAGGTTAACAACAACAAGGATAAACGTATGAATTAAGCAACTATGAAATAAAGAGCTAAAAAGATGTCCCAGCAGTGGGCTAGGTGGTGACTTTGCGTTGCATGACGCAGCGACTCAGCGCAGGGGGGTGTCCCGGGGGCTCCATAGACCTGTGGGGTTACAAATATTATGTATTATGTTAGCACCTAGATATAATACAAATTAGGACTCATTCCCAATTTCCCAAGGCCATCCACTTTTGCGGGATTCAGTAATGCAGGATCCCGAAAAACTGTACGGTTCCTGCAAAAAACGGAATGTCTCCGTGGGAACAAGCCATTATGGTATATTTATTTATGGCATTACAAAATTAGGGTACCGTTGGCACCATTTGAGAATGAAACTAAGAGCTCTTACGCACTAGCGGTACCGCGGGGGCGGCTAACCGCGCGCTAGTGCGTAAGAGCGCTAAAATCAGTTGCCAAAAAAATTCAGTAGTTTTTGCAAAAACAAATATAAATAGAGACAGAAATCTATACTTATAATAAATCTGTAGAGAGGTCAATTCTGTACATGAAATATATTTTCAAAATAACTATCAGGGGGTGATTAGTGATCGATACTGATGCCAAAAATGCAATTAGTAAAATTTTTGTCTGTCTGTCTGTCTGTCTGTCTGTCCGTCTGTATGTTCCTTATAGAAACAAAAACTACTCGACGGATTTTAACGAAACTTGGTACAATTATTCTTCATACTCCTGGGCAGGTTATAGTATACTTAGGAATTCCCACGGGAACAGGAATTAGCGGGAAAATCCTTTTGTATGAAAAATCTAAACCGCTTAAGTTAGATGCTTGAAATTTGGCATGCAGGTACCTTAGTAAACTTAAAGCTTAGTTACAACAGGATATTGCAAAATTCCCACGGGAACGGGAGTTAGCGGGAAAAAACATTTGTATGAAAAAATCTAAACCGCGTAAGATAGATGAAGGGGGTAAAACGGGATCCACGCGTACGAAGTCGCGGGCGGCCGCTAGTTGAACATAAAATGTAACACTTCGACCCGTAAACTAACTTGGGGTGCTTCTTGTCCCACTCGCTCATCTTGGAGCACATGAGCAGTACCTCGGGGCTCGCGGCGGGCGCCTGGCTCGGGCAGCATCTGCAGTCCCCGCTGCACTTGCACACTGCAAGGTAAGGTCGTAAGGTTAAACGACACATTTAACCGCCTCTGTGATATATTTATTTATTAAATTTAAACTTTTAGCACATAGGGACCGGGGCTGAAAGTGCCGGAGGTAAATTGTTCCGATGCAAAATATCTCGACAACAGAAAGAATTAGATATGTGATCGTATTATTTCGTATAATGCCTAACAGTTGGCCACATGCGACATAATACGATCACATATCTATGTAATTATTTCTGTTGTCGAGATATTTTGCATCGGAACAATTTACCCCCGGCACTTTCAGCCCCGGTCTCCCCTACATACATACAAATGCACTGTGGCGGACTTAATGCTGGATGGCATTCTCTGCCAGCAACCACGGGTCATGCAGAAAGAGTAAATCGGTGCAAAAAACGCAGTGATCTAGTTACGAAACCAGTTCCACTTGCGGCAAGTCCCCGATCACATCCCCAAGCAGGCTCTGGATTGGAACCCCCAAGGAAAACTATAATGATAACACTATAGCAAACAAGGCAAAGAAAATCGGCAAGACTTGGAGCGGGATCAAATGCGAAGCTCAAGACCGAACGCGATGGAGGACTGTTGTGGACGCCCTCTGCCCCATCTAGGGGATATAAGACCTTAAGTAAATCAGTGGTCTAGTGGTAAGCCCACCTTCTTCAAACCCCAGAGGTTCCGGGTGCGATTCCCAGTGGGCGCAAAATTTTCTGCTCAGTTCGGTTAGTGGTAGGTACACTATTAGTAGTGTGACTGAATGATAGGTTAACTAACTTTTAGTTTAGTATAATTAAATCAGCTTACTTTCTTTCTTATGGGCAGTAGGCTTGAACCGCGCGCTGGCTTCGTTCTCGCGGTACTCCCGGGAGCCGAGCGAGCACATGGACTGCGGCAGCTTGGCTTCAAACGTCCGGTCTATGAGCCCTGCCAAAGTGACATCCTACTTAATATTATAAATGCGAAAGTTTGGATGTCTGGATGTTTGTTACTCTGTCACGCAAAATGGATTTTGATAAAACTTTACAGTAGGTATTATTGTTTCTTTAAGGAGATTAATATACTCACAGTAGCTTCACGGTACATTTATGAAAACCTTTTATATGTTCGCAAAAATATATAGAAATTGCAATTTACTAGAAAGAGTGATTTACACAAGTTCAATACAAGAAACAAAAATAAACTTGCCGTTCTAAATTTCAGACTGCATAAGATTGGTAATTCATTTATGGGGAAATGTATTAAACTTTTCAATAAATTACCACAAACTGTTGTAGAATTGCCCATTCATAAATTTAAAGCACATATCAAAAGCACCTTAATGAAAAAGGGCTACTATAAAATTGATGATTATATAAAAGATAAAAATGTTTGGAATGTTTAACTACCTAGCTCGCATCAATACTTATGACAATATTTTAAAGACTGTAAACCCTTAAAAAGGAGGCTGACAATAGTGACTGAGTTTCTTGCGCTGCTTCTTCTCAGCACTGGCCCATTTATTGTCCCGAAGCAGTGGTAGGGTTAATATTGGGACGTGTAAAAGTGCCTTTTAAAAGCCTATTTGCAAAAATAAATGAGTTTTTATTCGTTTTTATAACCCAGAATAACATATTATAGGCTATAATTTACGACGATCTGTGACGAACTAAATAACACGCGGGTGAAGCCGCGGTAAAAAGCTAGTTAGTTTATAAAACAGTGTTCACATCACCTGCAGCAAATAGAGAATACAATAACACCTTAGATAAATAGAGAGATGCCAATCCATACAGATTTTTCCAAACAAAACCAGAAGTCTTGCTACAACGTTAAGATTTTAACCTTTTTCTTCCACAAACTCCAACATAGATACTGCTGTCTTTTCTTTCCCTAAAAATGACGCACGCTCCTCCATCAGCCCGGTGCATTCCTTTCTCAACGACGGCTCACTGTTTAGTGCTAAGTCGTAAAGATTCTTCTCCTGAAACAAATTCAGTTTAAGTTCTTAGCAATTTGTTAAAAATAATAATAAACAATGTACCTACCTAGGTACTAATTAAAATGTGTGCGTTTTTTTTTCTTTCTTCAATTAATAAGTAATCATGACAGTCCAGTTTTTAAAAGCGACAATATTTTAGCCTCAATTTGGAGTCTATTAAAAGAAATCTGACCAATCTTTCTATCATATAGATAAGTGACGATACAAACCGGCATGACCATCAAACTATGTAAATCCGTTCTACTATTCAGGAAGTCCCAGAAGGCACAGCACTTTCTTTGAACGAAATCGTTATCTATCTCTTCTATAGGCGTAAAGTCTAACATCAAATGTTGAGGAGACAAGGGTTCCCCGCAAGCTGAGTCCCCGAAGATGCTGAAAGACTCGTGAGACCCTGGCGGGTTGCTGGTGGTCTCGAAAGAAGAACTGGAATTCGGATAGATTTCTGATGTAGAAACAACATCGTGGTGAGAAGTTCTATCATTGGTAGGAGCCATCCTAAAATAAAAGCTAAATTGTAGTAGCTAGGAATAATATTAAACACGAACAATACAAAGCTCATAAAGTAGACAAAATCAAACTGACAATACCAGACAATACAACGTTGACAGACATAATTGAGACAAATTGGAAAAAAAGCAAAAGAATTTAAAGTTTTTAATCAGAAGTTACATGATAGAAGGTAGTATTTCAGAAGTACTTTATTATAAGACGTATTTGTAACACATATGTATGAATAATTATAAAACTCATGTATAAAGCGAATTAAATGAGAAATACCTATTACTTCATTTGTGTTCATTGATTTTTTGTAGAACTCAGAGGTTGACAAACACGTGACATGTCAGTAATCATTGACCTTCATTGACGCAGAAATTAGATGAAACAACAAGTGGGTATTTAAAGATTTACTCAATTTAAACTTATTTTAAAGGAATACAAAGATTAAAGGAATATAATTTTGTATTACAAATAATGTCTGCGTCTAAACTATTGTTGCCCTTATCAATAATAGACGAAGGGGAAGAAGACATTCCTGAAAAAGAAGAAGATATTGATTTAGAAGATCGGTATGTGAGAAAAGTATGTATTCACGGTATTTGTGAAGAAAAATCTGTTACTGCAATTGATTCAGAAATATTTGGAGAAGCGGTTGAAGAAGAATACATTAATTTGGAAGAAATAAATAAGGATGATGATTTGGACGAAACGTTTGCTGCAAGTGACTTCACAGATGCTGATTGTGGAGAACCGATGCAAAGCCAATTCCTGAGGCTCGATTTCACGCCGATTGAAGGCGTCGATGACAATCCTCATATACTTAAGAAATGCAGTGATTTCTGGCAGTTTATCTACAGTCAAACTAAATTACAAGGACTGATGGTCATGCCTGTAAGTTTTGTTTGTAAATGCACTAGCACTAAAGTCCCTCATCATCATCATCCAAACACCTGTGCCACTTATTCCAGAAGTTTATAAAATCTTCAAATTGGCACTCGGGTCAACACCATATTTTTGAGGAGAGATAAAGGAAAAATGCATTACAATTTAGTCAAATATTTGGACATGAATGCTCATGACAGCTTGATGTTTTTCAGGAGAAAGGTTACGAAGAAGTCATCGCGGCGTCAAGTAGCGAAACAAGTCTAGAGAAGTGTCAAAATGTCCCGACTCCCGCACTGGAGTGGCTAGAGACAGGAGGTTATTTTATTTTATTATACTCGCAACTCTCCTTCTTCTTCTTTTAATAGAGCATAGTATTTCAATAGCATTTGAACACTTTTGTATGGTTTTATGGTAGACGTCATATGGCTGAAATTAATGATGATGATGATAATGAATAATTTCTAAACTTTGATGGTTTCTTACAGTCGGTCAAAAAATGGCGTTTGCTGCCAAACACGAGTCGAAGTATTGCGACCACCACAACGGGGACTACATGGAGGAAACATCATCACCGAAGATCAAAGCAGCTCAAAAACAGAAAAGTGCAGAAAAAGGTGCAATTTCTTGCCACATTCCACTTGATATCAGAGCTCAGGGTATAAGAACGATGTAAAGTAAAATGAACTCTACTTAACGACATCATTTTGTTGAGTATTTCATGCGAGTCGCATTCTGTGGCGCTCGCCAGTCGTTCCCATATACCTACTATTGTAAATTCCACAAAATACAACGTGTCCCTACAAGTTCAAAAACTACTTTTCACCAAACTTTTGATTTCACGAAAATCAGTACCTGAAAAAAGCTACATAACTAATTTTGCGAAGAAACAACTACATAGAAAACTTTATTATAAAACCTTATTACTAAAAAAAAGTGTTCTCTAAACTTAGTTATATTTCTAAATAACTAAATCATTCAATAAAACACTATAATAATAGTTACACTAAGCAGCTGTCCCAGGAGTAAATGCACTCACTTATACAGAAATAATAGGTGTGAATCATTTACACTCTTTCAGAAGACGCGAACCTTTTTGCGAGCTTTAAATATTCATCTTACAACTTCGCTGAAACTTGGCTACACAGATAATTGGCAAGTTTTCTAAAAGCCAGATACATAATGCAAAATTACTAGCTCCTTTCAAAGAAACACATATTTGAGAGTGTTAAAGTTAAGCTGAACCTTGAATTTTGTGCTCTGTGTATTGGTAGGTAAGGTTGCAATTTGTTGGGAGCGTTAGGAACATGTGCTGTTCCGTGAACTTGAATAGTATGCGCAGGTTAATGGTGTTTGAAATATGCAGGTCTCATCTGGAAGCAAACTGTGACTCCAGAGTCACGGATGTTCGCGGGAATGGATATGAAGACTCGTTTTAATAAAAATTATAGACTTAGGACATAGAGTTGCTGAAAATGATAGACTTCAGCATTCTACACAAAATTTGAATAAACAACTCTTTTTTTTATTTGTACAGTTAGCCTCAAATAATTCGTGACCTCCAAATAAGTTATTAACACATTACAACACAAACAGACGTGTTGCGAACTTTTTGGCTGCTGTGAGTGTCGCTATTGAACGCTGACTGTACTATATCCGCAACAAAAGCACGTAGCGAAGCCTTCATGACTCCGAAGTACGACCACGAGGCCCATGAAGGTTGTATTCGCACGACGCTGTGACACATTTTTTATTCTGAAGAGCTTGTCATCATCATCATTTCAGCCATAGGACGGACGTCCACTGCTGAACATAGGCCTCCTCCAATGCTTTCCATGTTGATCGTTTGGTAGCGGCCTGCGTCAAGACTCTCAAGAGCTGGTAAACTTTGTAGCATTTGTCGTGTCCATTCAAATGCATTTTTCTTAGTGCTCCGGCTCACTCGGAGCCTCGCCGACTGAATATCAATCGGCTGAACCTCAATTACTGCGATCCGCGTGTGCTGCCGGCTGTTTGCCAGACAATGGGATGGACTTTGATTGGGATATTTGTAATCGAGAGCCTTCTAATGGTACCTAGTTGAGGGTTGCTGTTGTTCTTTGCTGGTTTATTCTGAAAGAAATTATTTTGCACTCTCGGCAAAAGCTTATAATTTCTATAAAAAATATTCCAGATAGATTTTACAGGTTATGCATTGCACCTTCATGATAATCTCAAGTAAGATTTAATAAAATAAAAAAAAAATAAAAAATATTTATTCAGTTTAGACCACAAGTGGCACTTATGTACGTCAATAGGTTAATAATATTGGTTTATACTCAAACACTGGACTATTTTGCCGTCACATAATTCTTGCAGATTGCATCTACATAGGATAATTTGATTATGCACTTGACACTAGTAGACTTGTAACAGAGATTCTATACAATTATGAGACTTTGGCGTCATTGCAGGCTCTATGTTTGGTTAATTTTTGACTGTAGCTTGGTTAACAGGTTTCTTTTTACGAAAAACGTTTACGCCCGTATTCACAAACATTACTACGAGGTCTCACAGTGCGCGAGGACGCATAGGGTGACATACGAACCAATCACAGAGCTCTATTGAAAGCTGTGCGTTCAATTTGCTGCTTCACTTAAACAAGCATCGTTTGTGAATACGAGTGTTAGGTAGCGATCATACACAATACCGCAGTCAATCAACCATTTGACCGCAGAACGTGTTGATTGAAAATTCCAGAAGCCACGTCCACCGCAATTCAATTCTAATAACACTTCATAATCGGATGTTTTGTGAAAACTATTTTAGGGCAGAATAATTATTATTGACGGGATTGCTATGCCATGTACCTACCTTAATTTCTGCTAGTGACCATGAAAGTTTAAAACAATAATATATTTTGGGGCAGGTTGGTGTTTTCGGGTGGTTGCTTGCTTTACTTGCTGCCTTGTTTACGTCTACGCTTTCGTTAACGTTAAAATGATAAATAGTTAAATAAGAGTAACTGATTGGTATCTAACGTACATAGGTAATGTTTGTTTTTTGTTACAAATCTACCCGTAAGTAGATATAAAGCTTTATCAAAATTCATGTCATATAAATCGTAGAAAAATGCCTACCTACCTATATAAAATGAGATCTAAAAAATCAAAATCAAAAGTATTTATTCAGTTTAGACCACAAGTGGCACTTATGAACGTCAAAATTATTATAGAAAATAATAAAAAAGAAAAGTTAGCCCTTATGGGGCATCTTGTTTGAGATCTTATACTGTATCGTATAAAACTATAACATTAAAATTATTCGTCATCAAAAAATATCTTGTCATGCCGATAATGTACGCAGTCCCTTACCCTTTTAAGTTTTAACGTAAATTAGCGTATCTATTTCCCCAAAGGAACTACCTTTACTGTACTCGTATTCAGACCAACTAGATTAATTTCAATGGCTGACCATATTATTATTAGTGTGTGTAATCCAAAAAAATCAATAAGTCACAAACGAGTATCGTTCCAGGAATCAAATAAAGTAATCCGTAATGTGGAACATTATGCAAGTGGTGGAAAATCACACGATTCGAAAAATAACAATGTATTTTCTGTGGAAGAAGATCCAATTTTCAAAAACATCACACACAAAAGGGTGGATACAAAAATCCAAAGCAATGTACTTAATAAACTTCAATCTGAAGTGAAATCACATTTTAACACGATTAGACTTGACTTCTCTCCGACCAATGAAGATTATGAGGATTTTGATAAATGTATAACCATTTTGAAACAACTGTCAAATGAGTTTAATGTGAATGAAGATTTAAAAAAAGTGTTACCGATAGAGACTGCTCTTTCAACTCTAGGAGATCCAAAGGATAAAGAAATAAGTGAACTTATAGATGCAAAAGCCAATATCAATACTGAATGCCAAAATACTAAAACAAACATTGATAAGACATCTGACAAAAATAATGTCTATGTAGAATTACCAAGTAAGGGACATAACACAGCTACACTACCAAAACCTTGTTACTGTAGTAAGCATTAACATACTCCATAATTATCCCAATTTTATTAAAATACTTCTGAATTTTCGTTTCAACTTTCCCCTGGACAAACTTGACCTTCACTGCTTGGGTTTTTATTGGCAGTCAAGCTGTGGATCCTGGCTACACAGGTGTTGCAGC